TACCCACTTAGGTCACAGAAGATGCTTAAACTTGATGTTTCAGCTGTATCCTGGCACTCGGGACTGACCCATCCCTGCACTGTTACATTAAAAACAAAACACAACCAGCCCAGCAGCAGCCAGGAGACAGCACAGGGCAGAGCAGATGGAAATGGAAGATGGGCACCAGCACAGGGCAGAGCAGATGGAAATGGAAGATGGGCACCAGCATTTTCCAGTGCAGTGCTGCACATTTGCCTCAGCACAGATCACTCCTCCATGACTGGCAGCAGCCAGGCTCCTGCTCCCAGAGCTGCACTGCACCAGCCGTGTCTTCCTGGAAGAGCTCCAGACTTTATATAGCAGAACTGGGACCTCGAGCCAGCACAACTCTCACTGCCTGCAAAGTTTAAGGATTCTTTTACAGTACCTGAGGATCAGACTTCAGTTTTCCTTTTTAATTACTCAATGAGGTAGCTTAAGGTTATCAATCAAGTCTACTATTAGTAGGTGTACCCCAGGAAATCAAATAATTACTTCAAGTCTGCAGATTTTATATAGGAACCTGTAAAAAAAAAATCATCCAGTCTTCTACAGCAAACTAGCACTTTTAGTTTGTTCCAAGCAGAGCAGACCACAGCCAGCACAGCAACTAGCACCACCCTGCTGAAGCGCTGCTCTGCTCAGATTTCCTCTTTGAGTCTTCAGTCATCACCTCAGTCAGACAAAAAGGCCCAGGTGCTAATATTAAAAACTAAAATAGTGTTTTCTAACAGGCCATTTATGCCAACCTTATGAGTGCTCTCTCATCAGGTCCTACTGTTTTGAACAGAATTACCAAGATGTACTCAAAGCAACATCACCTTTGCTTTATTTTCCTTTCAGTAAAAAGTATTGCTCTGTATGTTTCCCTTACAATTTGCAGGGTGAAAAACAAAGCTCTGAAACAAATAATTTGCATAAAGATTCTGTCTAAAATTCAGATGTTCAAACTCCATCAGTTGTGTTGAACTCTACTGATGATGCTGTTGTGCCAGCACCAGAGTGAGCAGCAGAGCAGTGGTCCTGCCATCACAGCACGAACAAATCCTCTGGTCTGCTTTTGTTTTTTCTCAGACTCCAAATGCAAAGATTCCCAACAGAATCTCCTGATGGGCTCGGCACACATAGACTAAGTCCTGTCCACCAGGTTTCCTACTTTAATTTTAATCATGCTTCCCTGCCTTCAACTTAAGGAGTTCACACTTAACACAACCTAGCAAGAAAAAAAGGTAAATTCACACCAGTCAGGAACTGGGGCCATTCTTTACCTCCTGATGTATACAAGCCTAAGGTTTTTTAAAATATTTAAGATTTATAAAATTATGATATACTTTTGCAAAGGTACCAGGACTGATTTTTTTTTTTTTTTTCCTAACAGACTTTGTACAATTACACTTTCTTCAGGTTTTAGTAGCGCTTTTCAGGCAAACCAGTCCCTGCAACATGTGATGCTGTCAAAAAAGGTCGTGAGATCTCCATCATGAAGATAAGGATGTAAGACTTCAAGCACGTGAATACTTCCAGCCAACCTTCAAATTAGCTACATATACTATGCAAAAAAAAAAAAAAAAAGATAGATTCACAACTTTTTACATCATTATATATGGTAACTGAAACATCCCAGGAAAGGTGAGTTCAGTTCACAGGATGAGAAGATGCTAGCATCAGCACCGTGGAAGTATCACAGAGCTATCTAGAAAAATGGTTTGGCTTATTCCTTACCAGACAGAGAAGAAAAAAAGTGAAAATCTGGTCAAAGGGAAAAATATCAGGAAAGGTCTGAAATGCAGTTTTTGTCTGTCAACTTCTGCATTTCCCTTTATGACATCAATATAATAAGCTTTGTTACCTAAAAAAAAAAAAATCCAACACACCCCTCCCCACGTTTGATTTATGGCATCTGGAAGCATCAGCTTCCGAAGCTTGATAGCAGTGTCCAGATTTCCTAAATCTGTCACTCCTGGCTGTGAGAGCAGGGGCTTGCCAAAAATAGCACACACTGGAAACATGGCGGCTTGCTGCAAAAGCTGCTTTCCCTCCGACGGTGGAACAAAAAAATCCTTTTTTTGGTAAAGACTACTTATTACGTTCATGCAAGCCTTAACACAGAAGGTCACCAGGTAAGCCCGCTGAGAATTAGGAACGCGGTAGAACATCCAGATCAACACCAGGAGCTACTGGAAGATGTAGCGAAACCTTTCCTCTGGGGTTTCTCCAGCACGTACATCTGGGGCCTTACAGGATGCTGGAAAGTCTCATCACAAGCAGTACTTCGCATTTAAAGCTTGGCTTAATCTCGGATTCAGCCAAGGTCATGCGGTAAACCAGGTTAAGATCCATGCTCTCCTGCTCGAATTATAACTTCCTTCACCTATAAAGTTATACCCAGGGAGGCACCTGGAGGTGTTACCCAGGTCCGGGCCGTGCGAGCAGCCAGCGCTGCCCCTCAATCCGCAGCCAGCGTTCCCCGCTAACCGGGCACACCTCGGGCTTCGGGTGGGCTCCTCCCCGGCCCCACCTGCCCAAAACTAAACCCAAAACCTGCGAGCGAAGGAGCATCCGAGCCTGGAAACCCGAGAACAAAGCTGGCCCCGCACACCTCGCCGCGCACAATGCGGGCCCGCCGGCGGCCGATCCCCCGCCGCCCCCCTGCCCCGCCGCCGCATCGGGAGCTGGGGCGGAGGCTGCGGAGCGCACGGGGGCCGCGGCACGGCGCCGGCGGCCGCCACAAAGCGCGGCGAGAGCGGGCGGGATGGAGGGGGAGGAGGCGCCAGCAGCGCCGTCCCGCACGGCCCGCGGCCTGCGGAGCGCCGGGGGCGCCTCGGAGCGGGGCGCTGCGTGCGGCCCGCGGGCCCCGCGCCAAGGCGCTGCCGCGCCGGCGCCTCCCCGCGCCGGCGCCTCCCCGCGCCGCCACCCCCTCACCTGCGGCAGAGCGGGACGGGAGCGGAGGCGCCGCTTCACCAAAGAGCCCGGCGGACGAGAAGCGCCTCACGCAGCGGCGTGCTCGGCCCCCCGCTACATATATCCGGCGCGCAGCCTACCCCAGCGGGCGCGGCCCAGCCAATCAGACAGCGCCGCTCGCCCTCATTCGGATGCCGGTTGGCTCGCGGCCGTGAGGAGGCGGGCGGAGCGCTGAGGGGCAGCATAGCCAGCCAACCATGCCGCAGCGCTCCGCGGGGCCGTGAGAGTGATTGACAGGCGGGCGAACCAATGAGCGGTGGGCAACTGCTGATAGACTTGCGCTTTGGCCAATGGGACGACGCGCGGCGGGCGCCGCAGTGTGGTTGAGCCGCACTGCAGCGCCCTTGAGAAGGTGCTGGTAAACCCCGTTATAGATGGGGCGGGACCCGCGGGGGGCGGTGGCCAATGGGAGAGCGCGGCGGGCGCTGACGGACAGGTCCCAGCCGCGGTTCTTAAAGGGGCAGGCGGGCGCCAGGCGGGGCGGCGTCCCGCGCTCCGCAGCGCGCCCTGCTGGAGTGAGGCGGGCGCCGGCATGGCGGTGGGCGCTGTGCGGGGTGAGGGCGCAGGCAGCGCTCCCAGCAGTGAGCAGGCAGCGGCCGCCCGCTTCGCTGTGTCTGCACAGGCTGCGTGGGGCTCGCCTGTCCCACGCACTGAGAGAAACCCCCAGTTTCTCGGGAGCCGAGGCACCACCACACCCAGAGCCGGGGTGGTCAGTGGTGGTCACTGACCCTGCCCATCACGGCAGGCTCGTCCAGCTGCTGCTTCTCCCTCACAGCTTCTGAGCAAAGCACGCTCAGCATGATCTGCCCCAGAGGAAAGATAATGCATGCGGGAGCGTTTTCTAACACGCCTACAAAGGAGGAAGGCCTGGAAGTTCTCAGATCGTTCTGCTCACCAGCAGCTGCTGGTCCAGGCACCCCGGCGAGCAGGAGGGAATGGGAGCAGGCAGCGAGCCAGAGCAAAGCAGCTTCCAGGCAGCCACAGCTCTCCATTTGACTGTGCCACATCCCACCCCACACGTATCTACGACATGAAGCACTCAGAGACAGATTTCACCCTATAAAAATGACTTCCTGCCCACCGCCGCATCCCTGAGCGCTGCCTGAACCCCTCCCTGCCGTGCCTCGCAGCAAGGGACACACAGGGCACGGGCGTGGGGCCACGCTCCGCAGTAATGTCCTCCCCCAGTACCTCCTCGCTATCTTTAGACTAAGCCACGCTGCAATCCGCCAGTTCATAAATCAGCACTGCAGACTTTTACAAAGTTTAACGTGAGCCCAGCACAACAACCCGCCCCGAATAAACTCTGCCAAGGGGATCTTGGACATCCCTCTGCAGAGCAATAGCGGGGCAGGGAATTCCTCTTTTATAAAACCATCGGTACAGCAGCAGTATCCTGTGCACCTCAAAAGAAATGCCCTGACCCCCAGCTGGTGAAGCAGAAAACAAGAAACAGCAGGTTACATTCCCTGCTACAGGCTGGGCTTCTCAACGGGAAGATGCTGAAACCCGGCACGTGTTCGGGAAGTGTCACACGCACCACAGCTCTGCCAGCTCTTCTCAGCCCTGATGTGATGCTCTGTCCCCTCTCCAGCTTCCTTGTGAAAGCTCCTCAGCTGCTCCCGGGTACTCCACCTTGCCTCGAGTTTTTTTTAGAAAGGGGCTTAATTTTCCTTTAAAGGACCATAGAGCCAGGGAAGAAAAAAAAAATTAATAAATAAATAAAAAAAAAGCAGACACATCTTCAGGGACCAGAATCCTTTTCCGCCGTCAATATCCATTCTACCCGAGCTCTCCCAAGCCAATGAATCTCAAAATCTCAAAAGACGAACAAGCTTTCTTCAGCAGCCCGGCCCCATCCTCACGGCTCTCCCCACCTCCCTCCCGCAGCCATTTCTCCGTGCCGATCCCTAGCCTGGAAGCGAGCAGAGCTCCCGTTTCGGAGCTCCACACGGACCAGCTCCTCCCCACTCCTTCCCTCGCCCTCGGCGGCATCCCCGCCTCCCGAGGCACGGCCCGCCCCTTCCTCCGCGCCGCGCCCGCCGCCGCGCCCGCGGATCCGGGATCGCGGATCCGGGATCGGGGATCCGGGATCGCGGAGCCGGGATCGGGGATCGGGGATCGGGGAGCGCGGCTCCGCCATGCCGGTGGGTGCGGGGCCCGAGCGCTCTGCGGGGCCGGGGACGCGGCGGGGCGGCGGGGCAGGAGGGCTCTGCCCGCTACCGGGGGCGGCGCGGGGCTCCCGCGACCCTCGGAGCTCCCGCAGTCCCCGAGGTTCCCCAAACCCCGGGGCTCTTTCAGCGCCCCGCGCTCCCCAATCCCCCGAGGCTCTCCCAGCCCCTCGGGGCTCCCCCAAACCCCTCGACTGTCCCTGTCCTCGAGGCTCCCCCAAACCCCCAGAGTTCCTCCTGTGCTCGCTGCTCCCCTGGTTCCCCAGGGCTCCCCCAGCCCTCCAAAGCTCCCCCAGTCCCCCAAGGTCCGCCAGATCCTGCAGGTCCCCCAAACTCTAAAGCTCCCCCAGATCCTGCAGCTCCCCCAGACTCTTAAGGCTCCCCCAGATCCTGCAGGTCCCCCAAGCTCTAAGAATGCCCCAACCCCCCAAGGTCCCCCAAATCCTGCAGCTCCTCTGAACACCAAGGCTCCCCCACATGCTGCAGGTTCCCCAAATTCTTAAGAATCCCCCAGCCCCCCAAATACTGCAGCTCCTCCAAACCCCAAGGCTTCCCCAGATCCTGCAGGTCCCCCAAATTCCGAGGCTCCCCCAGTCCTGAACTCGCCCAAACCCCAGGCTGCCACCAACTCCCAGGGCTCAGACACAGAAGGGAAGCATTGATGGGACCCTCCTTCCCCGCTGCTCACACATTTCCCCAAAGCACTCAGGGCCTTTGGGAAATAAAACCAAAGAAAATGGTAATTACACTGAAAAAAAAACCTAATGGCAATCTCTATCCCAAGCTCCTTCCTGGGTGAATGATCCCAAGAGGGTTTTGGCTTTGTAGTGGCAGGGGGCACAGGATGGTTCTGAATAGAAGGAAGTATGGGTTGCAAATAACAAATGCACAATAGTTTTACTTTTCTTTTTAAAGGAAAGTAAAAAGCATGTGCGAGAGAAGGAAATTAGGACCTATCTGGTGCCAAAGGTTGAAGGTGGTGGTTAGTTACAGACAAACAATGTTTTGTTGACCCAGTGTTGCTCTCACAAGTAGTGAAGATATTGCTGGGGCCCGAGTGGAGGGATGAAAAAACAGCACTAATGGCCCTTAAATTTCTGGTTTGCTTTTATTTTTGTTATGTTGGGGACCAGAAGCCCTGTAGATGGAAGAAGAATAAGATGGGGAAGCACTGAAAACCTCACAGACTTAAGTCAGAACAGCGAGTAGCTGGAAGCAGGAGATTTGCTTCTCCTTGGGTCCCCTGGACAGGATGAGTAAGTCCAGCACAGGCCATGGAGATGGCCGTTTGTACTGACTGTGGAAGTGGCCACACAATCTCCAAAGGTCCATCAGGATTATGCTGTGGGGGACAGCACAAGGACACCACAGGGGGCAGTACCAAGAGTTCTCAGTTTTGCTGAGGACCTCTTAGTGGTGTGCATATGGACCTTTAGACTTGAGAGACTTTGAACCTCTCCAAGGGAAAAAGGAAAGTGTGGAGTGTTCATGGTGCATTTCCAGCTGTGCTCCCCTGGACCCCTCACCTGCCTCTTTTCTTTCCAGAAACACGAGTTCTTCGTGGACATGACCTGTGAGGGCTGTTCCAATGCGGTCACCCGTGTCCTGCACAGGCTGGGAGGTGAGTCAGTGCTGGGTGTGGCACAGCCGGCTCCGGGGCAGTGCCCTGGGGTCCTCCATCCTGAAGGATAATGCTGTGGGTTAAAGTTGAAAGTTGGAGACTTGTCCTTGCTCTGCTCTGAGGCTGCTCCTTAGCTGGTAACAAGTGGCTGGTGGTTTGCAGGTCTGTGACTCTTGGAGAAGTGTCAAGGGAGGGAGGAGCTGCCGCAGGTGCAGGTGGTTCTGAGTCACCAGGGCCTCACCCTGAACCCTCTGGGAAGGACACTGGCATCCCCTGCCCAGGCTGCCAGAGGGAAGGGAGGTGAATGTCCTGCCTGGCCTTGTTTCCAGGGAGGCCTGGGGTGTCTGTGGTGCTTCCCCAGATGTGTCATCAGCAGTCACAGGGAAGAGCTGCTGAGCAGAGTGTTTGGTGGTTGTCTGTGTAGCCTATTTTTAATACCACCTGGAAAATTATAAAAATTACAACCCATTTCTTCTGTTTGCTGGCATTCCCAAGAAAGAAGGATCTGGCCTGCACTTGTTAGTTGTGAGAACCTGCTCCCTCTTAGGGAGAACAACTTCCAGCCACCAAGGCAGAGGCCTTGCAACTTCTTCCAGACCTCATTACCAGGCTGTGACAATTCCATTTTCTCTGTGTGTGGTTGTCAGTATCTCCATCACTCTTCAACAGGCTGGCCAGTATCAGCCTCCTGTGATGATGAGGCATAGCTCCCAAAGTTGATGTATACCTACGGGTTTTGTGAAAATACATAACTGGATAGAGACTGCATGTCCAGTTCTTCTCACTGGGATGAGTGTCTCACCTTCGTTAGGCACTGGGAAATCCACATGGTAAAATGCCTTTTCCCTCCTTTTACTTCCAGCTGTTAGGTGGTACTACCAGTTTAGGCATCTTGTCCTGAGCCTTTCCTAACCCTACTGACACTAAACCAGAGCACAGACTGAAGTGGATGGAAATTGTAGCAGTTGGTTTAAACTCAGTTTACCTAGGTTCCTACATGAATGATCGTGTTGATCCATGGTGGGGTGAGCAGATTAAAGCAGTTGAGAGACTGTGGTACCTGATGTGGAGCTAAAGCAGATTTTACTTCCTTCATACCACTGCTGGCAGGACAGCAGGTTGATTTTGCTGGCTGCCAGAGTGTTTTGGTGGTGTCAGAGTGTGCTGGCAGAAGATAAATGTCCATTTGACTGATGCCCTGGGAAGCACAGATGTGTGAAGGTGAGCTTCCCCTGTGCTTACATCATTTGGCTGCTTCTAACTGTGCAAAAATGTTTTTCCTCATAGGTGTCAATTTTGATATTGACCTGCCCAACAAGAAGGTGTATATTGACTCGGAGCACAACGTTGACACCCTGTTGGAAACCCTCAAGAAGACTGGAAAGAATGCTTCCTACCTCGGGGAGAAGTCTGCACAGTAGCCTTGCCTGGTGTGAGGAGCTAGGTATATACCAGCTGTACCCAGTGTGGAAGAGAGACAGCTGAGCTTTTTCCAGCTCTCCCAGTAAAACAGGCATCTTCCTGGAAAGCACAAATTTAGAAAGACCTGCAGGTCCAGCTCCAGCAAACCCCTCATGTCAGAGAAGCAGCTGGAGCACACGCAGGGACCCCTTAGCTGTTCTGCACAGCCTGTGTGACCCCAGCCTTGGCTGTAGTGGAGATGTAGAACACAGCCTCTATGCTATTCCCAGATGAACCTAGAGTTTTCCAGAGCATATTGTGCATGAAAACAAATCCCAAACACACTTAACAGCTGGCCAGAGAGAGTGGTGGGCCCCAGCAATAGCAGGGAGGGTGATGGGACACAAAGAGCCCTTTGGGTGTGAGATGCTGTGGGCTGGCTCTTAGCACAAGGACCTCCAACAGCTGATTCTCCTGATAAGGCTGTTAATCCTTCATTGCACTTAAGGATGGAAAAACAGCAGCTCCCTGGCACTCTTCTGGATGTAAAATGTTGGGTTTCAGAATAGCTCCCAGTACACACATTCCCTGGCCAACTGTCTGCTCCAGTGACAACCTGATTGTTGCAGCCTGTCAATTTTCCCAGAATTCCAGCATAATGAAGACATGTACAAAACTCTGCTGACTGTAAAATATACTGGCAGACAAGGTTCAATTTCAGTGAAAAGAATAAAGTGGGAGAGGGCTGCCCAATTGCTGCATGTATCATTATTTGGTGTGCAAAATTGTTACATGGCATCTTCTAAGAATTTGTTTCTGTCAGTGGAGCTTTCTGATCCAGTGACATTTTTTAATGGTCTAGTTGGACCATCACAAATACCCAGCACAGATGCGCTGAAACCAGTTCATGCTGATTTAATTCCCAGTCAATAAATTAAATCAGGGATTTACACCAGCAGGAATTAAACTGATAAAAGAAAGAGCTGGGCTGATAGTGATGTGTGTGCAATAGATCTGCATTGTTTAATAGGCTGACAATAGATTTTAAATCTGCAGTTTATATCATCTGAGCAAGCTCTCTGTGCTTCTTAGAAATTTTTTAAAATCATAGCTGTAATCAAATAACCCCACTTAACAGAGGGAGGCTGATCTCAATTGATCAGTGCCTCAAATAGTTTTCAGTGCATTTCAGTTTCCTAGTATTGACTGCAAGGGCTGTTACAGCTTGCAGAGACTTGTGGACTATATGTCTGCAGAATTGAACTATTACAGCAAAGTCAGTCTCAAATAAGGGGGATGTGTCACTTTTCCTGGCCCAGTGTTCTCATTTCTTTCCCTATATGACAGGAAGGCAGACGGTGAGTCAGATCAGCTGGACAGCGTGGCAGAACATTTCTCTGGATGCCTTTGTTTTTCTGTTGCATTTGAACTGAAGCTCTTTGGCTTATCCGAGGATCTTAAGACTCAGAACAAAGGAGAGTGGTGGGCTGGACTGGCCTTGCAAGATCACTTCAGCAGTCGGGCTGAAAATCCACTAAGTTTAAATTTTGCACACCACATAAGGAATGTTTTTAGGGGCCCATCTGTAAAAGGAGGGAGGGAAGTTGCAAATCCTTGGCTCTGATGGATGGATTTCCTTTGGCCCTCTTCCTGCTTGACCGGCAGAGGGCATCTCTGTATAACGATATCTCCTCTGGGCCTGGCTGTTCTTTCCCCTTCATTTATTCACGTATTTATTTATGTATTTATTTTGCAGGAACTCAGTCATGACTTCAGCAAAGAGATGGATTAACTGTCTGCATGTCTCCCAGCTTGCTCTGTCACTCGACCTTTGCCAGGTGTCGGAAAGCAGAGGGCTGGAGGGAGACAGCTGGGCCTTGGGCTGCAGGAGTGGAGAGGGCTGGAGGAGGAGGTTGTGTGGTGTTTCTAGTCCCACAGTAAATCAAGGCACTGCTTTTAACTTTCAGTCCGTGTCTGTGTGTCCTGTGTGTCTTTGTACTGCTTTGAGTGGTTTTCTGTGAAAGAGGCAGCTTTTAGGGATGGAAAACTCCTCTCCATGCAAGACAGGTCTCCCAGGAAATTGCAGCTATCCTTAGAAGCTGACTGCAACCTCTGCCTGAGGAACACATCTCAGGAGAACTGTGCTTGAATGTCACTTAGATTCAGGGAATCTGCATCTTGGAAGTTGTTTTTGCATCACAGAACAAACAAACTTTCCATTTGGGATGGAAGTGCTGGGAAGAAGGGACTTTTGCAGCCCCTTCAAATCAAGGATAAGCAAGTGTCCTTTCGAGCTCAGTGTGGCCTAGAGGCACAAATATGCCAAAGAGATTGTCTGATTGTCTGAGATGATGAGAAATAGAGGTTGGAGGAAGGAGAAGGGCATGGGCATATCCAAGGTCTCTTATTTCCTGGCCCAGTGACCAGTCTTCTGGGCTGTACTGTTGCTTTCATTTAATTCAGGGTTTCAGCCCAGTGGAGGGATTGCATGTGTGTGTCCCAGTCTGCTGTCTGGTTTCGCATGGGGGATGTCTCCCACAGCTACCAGTCACACCGGGCTTGTTCTACAAAAAGGAAAAGTAGCTAAAGCTTGGAAGAAAATCTCTTTACATTTCAGAGATTTTTTTTGCAACTAATTTGGATTAGTTTTGACATAATTGCAATTTATTCTTTCTTAGTGAAGTTTACTGTTTCAAAGTCCTTCTTCACCTTTGATCCAAGCATGATTAATTGCTGTAGCCGGACTTGCAGGGGGCTGGAGAAGCACTTCAAGGAATGTGTTGCAGACACTTTTTATTACTGTTTAAATTAAGAGAAGCTAAAGGCTACAAGTGTAACATCATTGCTTTATTTTCTTGCCTTAAAGTCTCCCAGTTTGGCAGGAAGCTTCCAGAGCCAAGACCCAGAACCAGAACCTATTTCTGTTCGTGTCCATGCACTCAGATGCCCAGTGTGACCCTCCAGGGTCCTGGGGAGTGAGTGACTCCCTTTCCCTAGGCCGCCCTTGCTGCCCTGAGCTGGTGTTTGCCAATCTCAGTTATTATTTATGCTTTCATCTTCCTCCCAGGCTTGGTCAGTGCCCCTCTGGTGCCAGTGGCTCATCTCTGGTGGCGGTGGCTGGGGGAGGACGTGTGCTGGCAGCCTGGCAAGGAGCTGATGGCACAGGGGCCTTGGAGCCAGCAGTCCTGGTGGCACTTGCTGTCTGCCAGGCTGGCAGGGGGCAGTGGCAGTGTGGTGCCCACACAGGACAGCTCCCACTCCACCTTGCTGAAACCAGGCTGCTCGTCCTTGGTGTCTGGGGTGCAGCTTGTGCTGCCCATGCTGCCCTGGCTGCTCTGCTCCCTCTTCCTTGCTCTGCTTTGTGTAAAGCCTGCTTATCTTCAGAGATAAACAGACAAGGAAAGGTTTCCTCCACAGCCAGCCAGGAGGTTCATGCAGATATCTGAAGCTGCTGCACCCATCTGTAGGGCTGCAATCTCCCAGCTCTCCCCTCCATTGTTCAGTGTGGGGAGAGGGCAGACTCTGCTTTAAGCTCTGGTCTGTTGAGTAATGACAGCCTGTGTCAGTCCTCACTTTGGAGTGTGGGCTGCATTTGGGCTGAATACAGCTGGAATAGGTTAGGGCAGGATGGTTGAGTCTGAACAGAGCTGCAGGCCTGCAGGGTGGCTGCCTGAGAGGTTTATGGCAAAGCTTTGGGAGAAAAAACAGCTTCATAGACTAAAAGAATGAGAGAATCACTACCTGAGCACACTTTCTTTGTTCTACCACTGCCCAGCTGCAACATCTTCATTTATCATGCTAGCCTGAACTTGACTGCATCTCATGGAGAGGGACCCCAACAAGCCCACACAGATAACATCATCACAATATTTTCCACAGGAAACAATATGCCAGACACTGAGGCTGTGAGGCTGTTTTCAGACAAGGAAATGCTCAGTTTGCAATGCAAACAGGAAAGGGTGGCACTTGGAAAAGGAGCTCTCCTATACCACAGACACCCAGACTGTGCAGGACATCCCAGTGACCTGCTGAAGAGTGCTGTCAGCAGGATGAGCAGCTGATCAGGTCCATGGCTCATTGCCATCCATGAATGTGTTGTCCCAGCTGCAGGGAGACTTCGCTGCTGGTCTCTTTTTTCTTTTTTAATTTCTTCACTTCTGGTTTCTTCAGAAAGGGTTTCAACCTAGCTCCAGCTGAACTGTGGGAATCCACAAACTGCCTCTAGCTGCAGCACCAGTAGGAACTGGGCAAACCCTGAGGGACTGGCTCTAAAAGTTCTTTTGTTTCTCCTGCCTCAAAATGATCTTTCCCCCTGACCCCCGTCCACAGTGTTTCCAGCAGACAGCATTTGCTTTTCTCACCCATCTCTGTGTGTTTGCAGCGTTGCTGCTGTGCTTCTGGGTGTCATTTTTCACGCGGTGTTACCTTCCCCCGCATTTTAAACAAAAATCTAATTTAGGTGGAAAAGTCTACAGCCTCCAAAGCCCAGTCCTTTATCCACAAAAGAAAAGTCATGGTTATCCCAGGGCTGCCTTAAGCACCACTGGCTTTTGGGCACTTTCTAATTACCTGATGACAGGCAGGGGATGATTTTAGCCAAAGGAGCAGTTGTACTCAGTCGAACCACCCAGTAAATGAGAGAATTTCCAAAATAGCACCACGGGCTGCAGAAAGCAGGCAAAGGACGGGAGAACCCCCTCAGTGCCTGCAAATGGTGATTCCTGGTGGCTTGGAGAGGTAAATTGCTGTGAAATTTCAGGGTAGGAAAGAAAGGCTCAGTTTGCAACAATCTCAGGAATTTCACAGGCGTGGCGTGTCTGGGTGTTAAGACACGCATGTTACATGGTTCCATGGGGATTTTCTAGTCTTACTGTGCTTTTAAATGTTTGCTGAAAGAAACAACCCAAACCAGGCTTTCACCTTTGCTCGCCTGCCTGTTCCAGCCCAGGCACGGCAGTGGCAGAGCTGGGAGGTGAAGAGCACCATGACTGATGGGCCGATGGCAGGATCATACCCCCACACTGTTGGGGTCAACATCAGCAACATTGCCCTGATCAGCTGCTCTTTGAGCTAAAGGTGTGCAGCTGGACCTGGAGGTTGCTCTGGGCTGGGAGTTCAAAGTCAAAAGCATCACCTGAAGTGGTCAAACATCTCTGCAAATGACGTGGTCCCTCAGAAGGACTCCAAACTGGCTGGAAAAAGCTTGGTGGTCTCTCTGAGCTAAATGTGCTGGTCTTGCATCTTTTAAATAAGGTCTGCAAAGACCCAATCTGCCTCAGCTGGGCTGAGGCCCCTCTGTGCTGGGTGATTTGCAGAACTGTCCCAATGCATCACTGACATGCAGAGCAACATCAAAGGCCTGGCTGGTTCCCAACTCCCCTGTTGATACATGCAGATTCCCTGAGTAATTATCACAGGCAGCTTTCCACATTGCAGCTTCCAAAGCAGCAAAACACACTGGGACCTGACAGACTCCCCCTCCAAAACAGGAAAACACAGAGGGTTCTGACAGACTCCCCCTCCTGGGGGAGGGGGACTGTGGCAGCATAAATAGAAAAAAAAAACCACCCAACAAATCAAACAAACAAAAAACAGCCTTAATTAAGGACTTCAAGAGCAGGAAATGTGCACACGTGTGCTTGCCAGAGCACAAATATTTTCTTTTGGAGCTGCTTTCTCCAAGGGTTCAGTAAGGTGATCGAGGCTGGGTTACAGAGCAAGGGTAGCAAACAGTTCCCAGCCCCTCCGGAAGGCAGTGGCCACAGGGCACTGCTGTTTGCATCCTTCCCCATGCTCCAGCCCTTGGCTTTAGGCTCCCACAGTATATACTGAGGCTATTCAACCATTTGGCTAAAAGCAGATGGGGAGGGAGAGAAAACAAAGTCAAACGAGAGGGAGAAAGGCAGCTTTTGTGCAGCCTCTGTTTGCAAAAGACAGCCCAAGCCCCTTTTGGACTAAGGTTTAATTTATTGGGCTCTGGAGAGCCGAGGTTCACAGCCCCACAGCTGCTGCAGGCAGTGGCACATTGGGGCAGAGGCAGGGGACGGGTGGGAGCCAGCTCTGATGAGTGAGCAGCTCCCTCAGAGGGGCTGTGGGAGGCACAGGACACGATGTGAGGACCCTGGCTGCTCTGGGGGGAGCAGAGCTGCCCTCTGACTCTTCTGCTACAAGGGCCTGTCCCAGGTCCCCTGAAGGGATGAGGGAAACTGGCCTGCATCGACAGGAGCCTCCAGCCTGGCCCTTCCTGCTATTGTCCCCCTGCTCATCATGTCTGTTCCTGAGCACCTCCCAAAGCACTGCTGGGTGCTGCAGAGCTGCCTTCACATTTCCTCTTCACCACTCCACACTAGTGGGTTGCTGTCACTGGGGCAATACACATCCAGAAAAGAGATCTTGCAGCGTTTCAGACTTTTCCACAATTCCCAGCTGTCATGAAATTCCCAGGGCAGGATCATCTCTCTCAACCCATCTGCAACCTGCTCACCTATTTTCCACAGATGGGTGAGAACTGTTAAAATAAACACAACCCATCCCCTTGTAAATGAAAGGAGATGCCTGAATGGAGCAGGAATCCACTGTGTGCAAATACCCTCCTGCTCCATCTCAGATGGAGCAATTTCCCCCCCTCCAAAGCTCCTGCTGGGCTGTGGGCAGAGCTTGGCCCACGGAAGCCAATGTCAGCAGGGTGCACAATGCCTGGCAATGACAACAGGGGCCTCGAGCTTAATCTGTTGTGCACAGCTTCAAAAAAACCCATCCCACACTGCTATTGTCAGGGTGATCCCATTGATTGCATCATCAGTCTGCTTGGAACATGGGGCTGTCTCCAGGGCTCAGGGCAGGGGTGCCTGGGGACCAGCCCTGGGGTCCCTGGGCAGTGTACAGAGCAGCCCTGGGGTCCCTGGGGCTGTCCTGGGATCTGTGGACAAGCCACAGTGCAGGCTTGTGCTGTGCTGCTCTACAAATAGAGTCTAAGGTCCTTTGGCTTTTCCCTTGCCTTTGTCAGCTGGTGGGAGCTGGTTATTATTATTATTGTATTCTTATTTTATTCTCCTCACAAAGGCATGGGATAAAGGGTCTCCCTTTGGTGGAGAAAACTCTGACACCATCATTTGCATCTCTATTTCCCTGTGGTTTTGCCTTCCCCTGCATCTGTGCAGTGTTCCATGCTTGTGGCCTCCCAGGAGCAGCCAGCAAAGCAGGCAGCTCGGTGGGAACGATCCAATTTCCAGGGCAACTGGGACGGGACTGAGTCCAGAGTGTCCTCGACTCACAGAGCCTCTCTTATTTCTCCACAATTTCCTCTCCATTTGCTTTCTTAGTTCAGCCTGTCCTTTGCCAGGGAAGAGGCCAAAAAAGCAGAGATGTGGCACATCCAGAGTCCTCCCAGCTGGCTTTACAACTGCTAGGGGATTTTTAGCTTCCCAGTTTCAGGAGCAGCCCTCCAAACTTGCCTTGCCCTGAGGTCAAAATGTGTCAAAGTATGGTCAAAGCAAGAGCATAGGAAGGCAGGAGGCCAGCTCTGACTCTAACAGCTCTGTGCTGAGCTTCTCACCAAGGGTCCATGTGCAGAAAGCACAGATGTGTATCCCCAGGTGTCACTAGTGCTGGTTACCTGTGCTATGAACAGCTGAAGATACAAGTCCTGGTGTGTCCAGAAGAAGTCCAGAAATCAACTCAGCAAAGTGTCCCCAACCCCCTCCTGCTCACAATTCAGAGAACTGCTCAAAATTCCTCCAAACAGGGTCTCAGCATGCCAGTGGGATGGCACAGGCTCAGCTGCACCCCATGCCTTGCAAGGGGCCAAGAAACCTTCCCTGTGGGCCACCCAGAGATCCAATGAACAGCAGGAGCTGTGCTCGGGATCAATGCTGAAGAGCCACTTCGAGGCAAAGGGAGCTGGGCACGAACTGCTCTTTGCCATGGAAAACAATAGACCCAACCCAATGCCAGAGGGTTTTAAAATTCATCCCTAGAGCAGGATAATGCTGAAAACCCCCAGCTGTTATTTGCAGATTTGCAACTCCAATAGAGGAGCAGCCAGTTCCTGCCAGAGCAGCAAACTTGTTTGTGTGTCTGTGTAAAACTGACAGCCAGGTGTTCCTCCCCACGCCAGCATTGTCCTTCTGTCCCCAGCTGTCCCTCTGTCCCCTCTGTCTCAGCTTTACGACATGTGGGGAGCAGGAGGGCAAGTGTCCCTGTCCCAGCTGCAGTGGGCCCTCCCTGGTTTGCAGGGCAGACCTGGCTCCTGGGCTGGGCACAGCAGCTGGAGCCCCTCCCAGACACACCAGGCTGGGACCACGCAAAAAGAGGGGCAGGAGATGAGATATTTCTCCTCCCTTCATTTCTTCCAGAGCCCCCAGAAATTCAGGGAGTGGGATGAACTTTCTGATTCCACTAGAAATGGTTGAACACTGAGAGGTTTGGGAGAGGTCAGAGAAAGATGTGTCACTTTTCATCCAGCCTTTTCACCCACACTTTCCATCCAGAAGCAGCCCAGATTCCCTTGATAGCACTCGTTATTTTTATTGCCTTGGAGAAAAAACAGCATGAATGGCCCAGCCTTGTCAGATCAATGTCAGATCAGGCACACCTCAGGCAGTGAGGACCTCTGTTCTTGAGGGTTGCAGTGGATAATTTTGAAAGGTCCCTTGCGATCCAAACTCTTGTATGGTTCGGGATTCTCCAGAGTTACCTGCAGAAGAGGAGCAGGAAAGGAGCCCTTGGGCACAGGCAGGAGCCAAGCTCCCTCAGCAGCTGCCTGGATGCCCTTGCTGTCCACAGCTTCATCAGCCTCTGTGTGTGTTAGTGAAGGAGCAGAGGAACATCACCAGGGCAGGTTTGGTGCCTGCAACCTGCTGGGTGGCCTTCAATAATCCAAAAGCACAGTGTGGTCTCCCTCCTGTTTTGCAGCTGAGTACCTCCAGAGGGGCCCAGACAATTCCCTGCACCACCCCACTCATTGAGAAAGCTGCTGTTTCCATAATTTCCCAGTTCCCACCTTTTTCCCCTAAGTGAACAACACAATTTTGAATGTTCATGCCATTAAAAATCCACTCCATTAATCCTGGTAGTAAATCCTGGGCAATCTTGCTCCCTGGGGTGATGTGGGCAGGCACAGGAGAGAGAGTGCAGTGGGTACCTTTGGGCATATCTGAAGTTAACTGCAGGGTGACATCAGCAGCGCTTGTGTCTCATCTCTGGAATTCTCTGGTTAGCCTTTGCAGATGCCTGATACAATTAATGTTCATTAGCAGTCTCACAGCAGCATCACACAGGAGAGAGCCCAGTGTTCTCTCTCTCCCACATTTCAGAAAGGATGTTGTCTCTCTGCTTGTCCCATAAAATAGAAGCTTAAAGGGGACTTCTCTGAATCTGATAGGTTTTTTAAAACTGTGATTTTGGTCCCTCCATCTCCTTAAACAGCTGCTGATAACATATGCAGGGCATACAGCTGGGGAAGCACTGCTAATTTTAGCAGCTCCTGAGGGAGGGACCCTGCTCTGGGCCAGGCACAGGATGGAAAGTCACAGCGTTTGCTCAGGGCCCCACATGACCTCGCTATTTTGGGGCTGCCCACGTCCCACCTTGCCCCAAGCCCACAGACAGAGTGTGGCACAGCCCCGAGCCTTCCCACAGCCCAGCTGTTCCTGCCACAGCACCGCTCCTGCCCAGCCCCGGCCAAACGGGATGGTGGCTTTTGAAGGGGAGTAAACAAGCTTCAGGCTAAATTGAGATCCCCACAACTCACACACTGAAGCAGTGATGGACGAGGTATTTTCTGCCCACATATGTCCGCTGTATTTTCATCCAACTAAGGGGGTTGTGTCCTCTTGGGTTTCCTTTGCTCCCTGATCAGTGAAATTCCATCAAGCTCCATACAGATGATGCAAATGATTCCTCCACTGACTGGCCCTTGCAAAGGCCTATAGATGGCCTTAAACATCTGAATTGCTCAAGGCAAGACGATTTTAAGGAACTTGAACTCCCCAAGGTAAAATCCACACTGGACAGGGGAGCTTGGAGAGGTTCAAAAGTGCACATGAGATGATTTGAAAGGAGCCAGCAAGCAGAGATGGTGTGGAGGTCAGTGCTTGCACTTGGTGTTAGCCTGGAGCAGCCGTGTTTGTAAATCACAGTCAGATGCTAAAATTCCAGAGTGCCCTCCAGCACTGCCCCTACCAGCCCTGCCTGACCCTACAGCCCTTCACACGGCTCCTGCACGGCAGGGGTGGCTCAGGGTCACAAGATATCCTGCCCCAAAATGTTCTCCAAAAATATTTCCTACAGTCTCCCCTAATATCTTCTTTGCCAGCTTTAGATTTGCTTGCTGCCTGTGACTGGCTGTGGTGGTGTAACCCCAGTGGGCAGCCAACACTTGCTTTTGCCTCTGTACCCAATCCTCCCAAATGCATCTTGCCAAGACCAGTCCCATTTTGCCTCCTCTAAGGGACACCCTGTTTATGGAGCCTCCTGCATCCAGCAGCCTGGCTCACTTGTCTGGTACATCTCAAGCCAGGGCTTGTTCTGAAGTGAGCTCAGCTGGAGCAGAAAGTGTCAGAGCAATGGACAGAAAAATGCAGATTCTCAGGGTGGATCGGTGCAGGCTCAGCCGGGGGTGGCCCAAGAACCTCAGGCAGCTCAAGCAGCGTGTCCTGCCTGGATGGGCCCACAGCTGCAGCACAGCTCGGTTCCCACCCGGGGATGTGCAGTTCAGCCAGCAGCAGTGCTGGGGGGATGTTGTGGCCTCTCGGGTGGCTCTGCCCGGAGCTTTTCCCGGTTTGTGTGCCCGCAGGAGCGGGGCTGTGCCGAGGGCAGCGCTGGGGAGGAGCGGGAGCACGGGGGGCACACACCGAGTCACTGTGAGTGGACAGGACTGCCCGGCCGGGGATGTTTTCATAGGGTTTTGCCAGCAGGGAGGGTTAACAGGAGGACACTAAAGTCCTGTTCTTCAGCCTCCACGGGGAGCTGCTAAACTTTCCAGGCTTCAACTCATATTCCAGCCTGCCTGTCACCAGCGTGCCTTGCCCTCTCCAGCACCGGCTTTTCCTCCTCTTTGCCTCCAGCAATGCATAAGCCTGCAGCGAAAGCAGCCCTCGCTTACAGCCCTTGTTCTCAGCTGCTGGATCCTGGGAACAGCGAGTTATCCTGAGGACACCAAACCCTGCTGCCTGCTTTGCCTCTGCTGCCATCCCAATCCATGGCAGCTCTGCCCCATCACTGCCTGGCCCCACTGGACACTCACCAGCCTGACCACTGCATCACGTTTCCAAAGGGGAGCCTTGTAAATGCTCAGGAAAACCATTGTTTTCATCCCTTAGATGTAAGTTGGTGTGGCTGATTAAATTAAATAGGGTTGTGGGGTAAGTGGCCAACTCATCTGAGAATAAAGCTTCTCTTAGAGGACCTCACACTCTTGACCCAAAAATACAAGGCTGTCCCCACAGAGTTTTGTGAACTCTGGAATTTGTATTTCTGGTCTTTTCCTCACCCATGGTTATTGCCACTGGTTTCCAGATGGCATTTGGTGTTCTGGGGCTGCCACAGCTTCACCTGGGTACTCCCATCAAAGCTGCCTTTTAGACTGTGTTTCTCCATGGAAAAGAGCTGCCACTGCAGCCCAGGAGCTTCCCTCCCCACATGTCCCAGGGGCCTGAGAGTGGATTCCTGTTTATTTCCTCAAGCAGTTCTATTCATATCCTTCAAAAGCTGCCAAACTGTCAGGCTCAAGAGGACTCAAAAGTGCATTGCAGGTAAACATCAGGAATAAGGTGGGATTACCTGGAGTTAGCAGCACTTCTCTCTTGGAAGTTTTATTTCACCTCCTGCAAGTCACAGGCACAACTCCAGCACAAGGTCTCAAGCAAGAGCAGAGCTGGGCTGAGACACCCAACTGTAATTCAGGCACTCAACATCCCTGTGCCCACAATGAGCAGGGAACAGCCCCTGGCAACAAGGGAGAGGCCTTTTGGGATGGACATTCAGGTTCTTTGGATACTGTAGGTGCTGGGCTGGGACCAAACTCAGCCAGCTGGATGTGCCTGAGAGTTTCAAATCAGCTGAGGAGGTGTCCTGTCTGTCAGTGCCTGCTGTGATGTCTCCAGGCAGGGCTGTGGGGACTCTGCCACAGGGACAGGGTGGGGGCTACAGGCAGAGGGGTTCTCTCTATCACCTTTCTGGGTGTTCCGATGGGATGCCCAGGAGCAGCATCCTGGGCAGGGCAGGGGCAGATGCAGCACACAAAGCTCCTCTCTTGCTCCACAGATGAGGAAGGTGATGGATGCTTTGGCCTCAGTTTAGTTTCAGGGAGGACAGACAGATTTCTCCCAAGCCTGCAGCCCCACACATTTGCAAGTGAGTGAGATGACAATGCAGGGAGAGTTTGAAAGAGGCAGAGACCTTCCCCATGGGGCATGGAAGAGCCTTCCACCAGAGAACCCTGGGACAGCTGTGAGAGTCCACCCACATCATGGAAAGAACAAGACATCCCACAGTAAGCCTGTCCTGCCTCCTAGCTTTGCAGCCTGCTCCCAGGCCATGAGTCACTGCAGAGCCGTGCACAGCTGCCTTTCCATCCCCTGCCCTGCTGGCCTCTGCATTACAGCTGAGAATCTGCAATCCACTCCTCCTTCTCCATCTGCTTCTGACCAGCAGCCCAGTGCAGGCATTGGAAGAGGCTGTGAGTGTCCATCTGCTCCATCTGAACGGCATCAGTCCCACAGCTCAGCTCAGGGACAGAGTCTCATCCCACTGGGAAGAATTCCTTGCCCCACACAGGACAAAGACAGCCCCTCTCAGGCTGTTCCAAGGGCATTTTGGGTTCATCCTGCCCTGTACAGATGGTGCTTGCAGTGGCCCTGCATCTGCTTAGTGCAAGCCCAGAGAGCACAGCCCTTCTGCCTCTGATCTACTTCTGAAATGGAAAAAGCCAGAAACCCTTCAGCTGACACACTCCCAGAGAGCAGGAGAGATGGGAAATTCCTGGGGTAAGCAGATTCCTCTCTGCTCTGCATTTACTCTCAGCTTTCCTGAGCTGGTGCTGGGCTCCCACCCCTGCAGCCATTGACTGCCCTGCACCTGTGAGGAGCTCAGCCTTCAGTCACACACTCAGGGATGAAGATTTAGCAAATTACATTCCCATGGTTGTTCCAGGGCATTCTGTATATTTATATGCACTTTGGGTTCGTTGTTTTGCAGCAGCATCCACCAGAATTCATGCAGACACATCCTCTAGAGAAAAACTCATTAGAGAATCCATCCCAGAGCAGAGAGAAGGAAAGGCTCCTCACACTGACAGACTTGTGAGCAGGGGACAGCAAGATTATTAAGCCACACTTGTATCACTCCTACAGAGCTGCTCACTTGCCTTTTTCTTCATCTATTACAGCAGAATTGTTCCCCTCTTGGAAAGCACCAGGGTTTTTCAACTGCACCAGTCCTGATCTGCCCAGCCTGGCTCAAAGCAGGATGAAGAAATTTGGATTTTAAACTGGGGTTAGCTGGAGTTCAAACCTCACCCCTCCAGACCTCTTGGCTTTGCTGTAAAATGAGCTCAAGCCCCACAGGGTCTTGCCCTGTGTGCTGTTTCCATCGGAGTTTGTGCAGTGACTTGAGCTGGGAGTGAGCGCCGGGAGCCCTGGGGTTCATCTGCTGTGCCCAAAGCCCCACAGGCACAGGGTCAGGGGCCTGAGCTGGACCTGCTGCAGCCCTGCCAGGGTTCCCAGGGCTGAGGAGGCCCCTTGGGCAATCCCCTGGTCCAGATGGCATAAGACAGCTTTCTAAATATGTGTGAGGTCTAGTTTTCCTCGTGGCAGCCTGACAGAAAAATCTCCTTTTTGATGACCCCACTAAGCCTTGCAAGAGTGGAAAGGACTTTTCAGGACTTCCTTTGTAAGCTCTCAGTCATTTCTGGAGCTCTTTAAAGCTGCTGAGTTTAAAGAGCCAGCCAGTTGCTCCAGGCTCTTTGTGATCCCCCTCCATCCCACTGCTGATGCCAGGCAATGTGCCCTTCCCAAGGCACAGACCTGGCTGTCCCCACCCTGTGCACAGAGCACCCCTCACTCCCACCCCCCGGGCTCACTGGATGAGCTTGGGGGCCATTTCCAGATGTGACTGCACCACTGCTTTTTGCTCTCTCTCACACCCAGGGTCTAAGCCGCCACATCCATAAAGAAATCCCTGCTATAATTATCTCCATGGCACTATCATTTGTTTAGGCCCTTAGTAGAGGGCTTAACTTCAGGCTACAGTGCAGAGCAATTGCCACGTTGTCAGTTAGAAAAGTAGTGGTTTCTTTTCTCTTCTTTTTTTTTTTTTTCTCTCTAAAATTTTTTCCAGATGTCTTTTTTTTTTTTTTTTCCTTAGGAGAAGAACCAGCAGCGGTACAATTTCAATGTGAGTCGTGACTAATCCACTGCAGAGAGCATTCAACAGCTGTGTCTGGCTCCTTGGGTTATGACTCAAGCAGATGAAACTTTGTTTTAGGGAATGTCTGACCTCTGGAGCCAAACTGGACCTACAAGTGGCACTGGTGGCACCTGGGAGCCATGGACACTTGTGATGGGAGGACAAGGTGCATTAGAAGGACCCATGGAGTCTTAGAAACCATCACAAATCCAGCCTCCACAGGGACCTGGGAGGGCCACGTGGAATATTTATTAATGTCTCTGTGAGTGGTATCAACATCCACATATCAGCACCCAGGGATGGCTTTTGGGAAGTGTGCAGTCAAGTAAAGAAATGGGTGAAAAAAATTTTCCTCTCTTGTTCTTTGCCACCAGCCTCCTGAGCTGCCTGATCACAGAGATTGTCTGTTCACTGGAAAGTGATGATGGGTTCTCATTAACCCCTCCTCCATTCTTTCCCCTTTGCCTTCCTTTTCTGTCCTGTTTATATTTTTTCCTTGCTGGCCATGGGATGTTTAGTCTTACATCTGATCTCTCACATGCAGCAGAAGTGCTGTGAGGCTGGGTGGGGAGTGAGCAGATAGATCCTGCAGAGCAAGGAGCCAGGACAGCCTGGCAGGTTGTCACGGGCCAGTCCCTGTGCTGACATCTAAATCCTCAGCAACACCAGTGGGAAGAGTTAATCACCACCCAGGTCCATGTCTCAGCCCTCTCAAAGATAGCACATAATCAAGAATGAACCCAAACCCCAGGCAGCCAAGACAAAACACAATGTTGAATTTTGCTGTGATCTCATGTGTCCTTCACCCAGCATCCACAATCACACTGCTGGTGCCCAGATGTCCCCAGTCCTTCTGCCTACATGGGACATCATCTTTCCATTGCCCTAGAAAGCAGCCCCAGGGTGAGTTTTGATGCCACAGGAGGATCACAAGCTGCAAAGAGCTGGATTATCCACGGGGCTCAGGACAGCTCTGTATGTGACAGAGACATTCTTTGGGTGTGCCCAAACTGTAGCAATTTTTGGCTACTGGTTCTCCTTTGCAGTGTGGTGCCAAGGCCATGCTGGTGCTGGGGGAGCAGATGCACCTCAGATCCTCTCAGCCATGGACAGATCAAGGGGAGAGGAGCTGGGTTTTCACCCTGGGCATAGAGAGGAACAGATGGGAAAACTCAACTCCAAACAGCTTTGCTGCTTGGCTGACTCTGGCTGGGCAGCTGCTCCAGCTGAGTTATGATCTGTAAAATCAAAATAGTGTTTGAAGAGACCACTGAATTCAGCTGAGTGGCAATTCTGGCTGGGTTTTGTTCAATCAGTCCAGATCTGCTGGATGATAACCACAACAGAGAGACCACTGTGCTGAGAGTCACATCTACCAGCCCAGCATTTCTCTGCCTACTTACAGCATTTCAGATATGTCTTTATCCTCTACATTCTCTGGGTCATTCTTTCCTCTCCCTCTCCACAAGGCAGTCACGGATATCAGCAATGTTAGGAGACAGGATGGAGAAGCAAAAACTCTCCTGCTTTCCTCTGCATGCCGCTGAGGATGGGAAACACCAGCTCAGGGACTGAGCTACACCGCTGAGAAATGACAGCATCTAACATTATAATTGCAGCAGGTCAGGGTGTTAGGAGGTGCAGAACCAGGCAGAGAGATGGCATTCCCCTACCCCGTGTGCTGTCATCCGAGAGGGACAGAGAGCTGGAAACTCAGCGCAGGCAGTGCTGTGACAGTGACTCTGCTGGGAGGGCTGCGCTGGGGACTGCTCTGCCCCTGACAGGGACCCTTTGATTTTCAGCTTGATTTCTCTGGTCTATCCTTTGGAGCCAGGCTCAGGAACTGCCCACTGGGAAGCGGAGGAGAGGAAGAGACCGATTTGGAAAGCTAGAGAGGAGGAGGAGGAGGGGGAGAGGCAGAGGGAAACCCAGCCCACCCTTTGGCTTCCTCCTGCCTCCTTCTAAAACTTGCAGATTCCTCCAGCCTGTCCAAGCGCCTGAAGTTCCCTCAGCCGTGCTGCCGGGACTGCGAGGTATGGCCCGAGCTTCGCGATTGCCTTTGCTGTGCTTTTCCTCCCGCTCGTGGGGTCCCTGGCCCGGCCCGGGGAGAGTCCAGCGCTGGCAGCGCGGCACTCGGGATGGGGAGCTGGACGCTCTCCACCCCAAGTGCTGCATTCAGAGACCCCTCCTGACTTCAGCCCTTCCTCCTCTTTGCAGCATTTCCCCTTCTAAGCTGTCTCTTATTCCATTTCGCTGCCAAAGCTTCAATGCTTTGGTGGCATCTGACTGTAAAGGTTTAGTTTGCCCTCATTCTTCTCTCTGCTCCCTTTTCCCCCTCTGTGTTTTCAGCTGGTGCTTATTTCTTTAGTGAGATCCATGACACCAAGGTCTGGGCACATCAAACCAGCCTGCAGAGAAAATCAGATGTAGTTACGATGAATTCTCAGCCTGAGGTGTGTTGGCAGGTGATGTTTTACTCACCAGAATATCCAGAGGAAGAACAAAAGAGCTGCCGACTTCATGTCAGCGGTTTTATTTTTTTTTCAGTGCGGCCGATCTTATTTCTCCTTTGAAAAAAAAAAAAAAAAAAAAAAAAAAAAAAAAAAAAAGACACTCGGCTTTTTGTTCCAAGCAAACTCTGAAAGCTTTTCAAGTCTGCTGCCCTGGCTTGCCAAACTCTGGCTGATCGACTGCTAGGGGGACGGAGATTGCAGGATAGGAGGAGCAAAGCTCTTTCGGGGTGTTTTTTTAAGTTTTAAGACCTTGGGTTCCGTCAGGCACAATTTTAGGTCCCCACAGAAGAGACGAGGGCTCGTTTCCTTTAAAGGCAGCTGCTGTCCTTCCCGGCCCGCTGACGTGACAGTCTCACTCTGCTCTTTGTGTCCCTTCTCTAAGAAAGCTCCACTCTGTTGCATCCAGCCAAAAAAAAAAGGGAAATTTAACCAGCTGGGGGCCGAATTCCCACCCAAACCAAAGGCAAAAGTTTCAAGTTGGAGTGAAACCGGGGGTACTGGGAATGTCACCAGTACTCCCGAGTCCTTAGAGACGACCAACTTGAAACAGCCCAGAAGCTCAGCATCCCTCCAAAAGGACAAAAGTTAATTGCAGCCGTTTGTTAGGATCGACCAGGCGAGTTTTAAGTGGCACAGAAAAGCTGCTGCGTCCGGCAGAGCAGCTAAAGCCAAGCCATTGTCTGCCACATAGGCAGGAGCAGGGGTGCGGGCGGTGTTGGGAGGGGGAAGAGCAGAAATAAACTTTTCGAACTTTTTTTCAAGCCCTTCCTTCCACAACACTCTGCTCTTCCATGACTCAGCCCCAGAGGAATGTCGGCTCCCATGGAAACCTTTTCTGGGTCCTCTGGTCCGAGGGATGTCGGGGCTGTTATCGCTGGAGCGGCTGTGGCGGGGCAGGTCCAGGGAATGCTTTGGAGATGGTTTGCATTTTTGCAGAATATTTATCGGACAGTTTATCCTCTGCCTCCTCTGTGGGATCAGCTGGTTGCACCCCCGGAGCCGGAGGGACCTCCTGCACCTGGCACAAAGCATCCGGGCTGCTTTTGGCACTGCCTTAGGTCCAGCCCACACAACAGAAAAAGCAGGACAGCAGGACAGCAAAATTCTGTCTCGCCTGTCTGCACAGGGCTCATCCATGAGCGGCTGCCTGCAGCTCACTGCACATCCAGGCTCTATTCTTGGTATTAGTTTAAGTGTTTTCTATCATGGACTCAATCTACAACCTGGAGAAACTATGACAGCTTCAGCACACAGCTGTGGTGGGGCTGGGCTCTTGCTGTCCTATCAACAAGCCCTGCAAGATGTGAGCGTTTCTGAGCTCACACGGAGCTGCTCAGCTCCCAGCACAGGGAATGGGCTCACACAGAGCTGTGGTGTAGCCGTGTCTTCAGTGACTCTGCACAGGCACATGGGGTAGGGAGATTTTTTCCCCTGCTGTGTTTTATTCAGAGTGTGAGCTAAAGGGAATTTCACTTCCATCTAAACCTTGCATGGCTTTCTGAGCCTGCACAGTGCATGAGAGGGGTCTGTGCAGGTGGCAGGAGCCGGGCTGCACCCAGGGCAGCTGCAGCACATCTGGGTGAGCCAGCACTGAACGAGCAGGGACCTGTTCAGCAGGGAGCTTCGTGGGAACTCACACAAACAACTCCGGCTTCAAATGGAATTTCAGCTTGGGAGTGGCTGCTGAGTAAAGCTCAGAGGGTCTTGCCTGCGTAGGGAGGGCAGGGCCAGGCACTGAGGACCTGGCCCTGCTGTTGTGTCTCTGTTGTGTCAGTCACACTTGGTCACCCATTTGCCCCTTGAACACTGCGGCCCCAGTTGGGTTTGGCAGAATCTTTTTCTGGACCAGCCTTGCGTTACCCTCAGTGTGAGGTGGGGTATGTCAGATGCTCCAGAGATGCAGATGAGCAGTGAGCAGAGGGAGGGGAGGTGCAGGAGAGCCTGGGGCTGTGCCCCCCATTGCCCATTCCTGCCTCCGTGGCTGCTGTGGGAGAGGCAGCAGAGCCCCTCGCCCCTCGCCCGGGCTCGCAGGGGTGGCAGCCGGGGTGAGCCCGCTGGCTTCAGGGAGGAGCTGTCAAAGTGGCCAGGGAGAGACTCCTCCCCACGCTAACGTGGCATCCCAAAGGCTTACGCAACCCTGGACAGGGCCAGCGCCACATGGACCATGGACCATCCATGGAGCCTCTCCTGGAGGCTGCACCCGCTCATCTGTGTCCTCCCCAAGCCACCGAGGCCCCAGGCTGGGGTCCCCAGACAGACCCAGTGGCACAGACTCTCCTCTGTGCACCACTGCAGGGCATGTTCCCGTCGGGAGGAACTGATGGTGGTGCCAAAATCTTGTGGGGAGCGTGGTAAAGAGTTCCCCAGAGCAGCTGGTTTGGAGTCTGTGGAGGTGCTGAGGGTCAGCCTCAGCCCTCTCTACACCCCATGGTTTTCTTCTTTGGGGTATGGCTGCAAAATGCAATGAGCAGCTGGTGCTGAGGGCCATGCTGGAGAGGTGAACCACTGAGAGGGGTTTGGGGGAGCCCCCAGACTCTGTTTAAAGAGTGACTGGGAGCTGAAGTCCCCATGTAGGATGCAAGTGGGATCAAGGATTAAAAAACCTGAACAGCCCATGGTGCCCTATTGACTGCTCAATCCACAACATTCAGGAGGGCAGGCCTGAGGGAAGTGTGGTGACCATGGAGCTTCTCTTATTCTATATTCAGCAGCCTTTTCTGTGCTGGTTTCCATCATCTTGCAAAGTGCTGGTGTCTGTTGATTCCTTTAGGATGTAGAAGAGCCTAAGTTCCCGCTTGCTAAAATATTTTTCCCTGTCCAAAATGACCTCCTGGCTGCACCCCCTTTGCTGCCCTCTGCTCTCCATGGGGTCACAAAGCAGTGCCAGGCACTCCCAGTGCAGAGCCCCTCAGGGATCCTCCCAGGTCCCTCCAGCTGGGCGATGGATGCTGAGCTCATGCTGTGGCCCAGCTGCCAGCTCCAAAAGCATCCTCTTGGATAGCAGGACCATGGTTGCTCCACAAGGAGGGAGACTTGCACCATGTACCACATTATCCTTATAGCGCAACCCTGTGTGCAGGGCTCCTGAGCTGTTATTTCAGGACTTTTGGCCACCAGGCATTCAGGAATGATCATTTGGAACCCAGCCAGGGGCTCACAGACACTGCAATGTCCTCACTGCACAGGCTTTGCCTCCAAAAAGTTGCTATTTTATAATAAATTTGTTTTACCATCTAAGGCACAAGACAGTTCTGCAGAGCTTGTTTGCTCAGAGTTTTTCATGCTCCTTCTTCCTCCAAACACAACACTGGCAGCTCCAGCTGTCTGCTGGCTCCTAGCAAACATGACCCCACTTACTGCATGCCCAGACTTTGAAATTTAAGGCTTTTTTAATGCTTGGGGAAATGATCTAAGATGGCCTTGGCATGAGGTTGGGTTCTTCTTAGTGCCACATTCTACAAGTGCATGCACTGCCCTCTCCTCCAGGCTGGGCACTGTCCAGTGGACATCACTGAACCTCAGAGCACCTTCCAAAGCAAACAAACCCCTGGGAGAAGCCCAGGAGGAGCCTTTACTAGCCAGGGGATATCAGCAAGGGAGGAGATGTCCAGAATCACCTGTACTTTTCCACCTCCCTCCCCAGACAACCCTTCCAGGAAGAAAGAACCAGTGATCTCTGCTGGCAAATGCTGGCAGAGCTCACAGAAACCTCCAGAACAAATGAAGATGAGGGGAAGGGACAGCTCACAGCAAGCAGGAGAGGAGGGAGCTGCTCAGCTGCAGCCTCGACAGAGCCTAAGAGCTCATCACCCCTCTGCCACACTCCTCTGCCACAGGCCCTTCACACCACCACAGCAGCCATCCCCACCACCCCTCCAGCCCTCTGACATCCCAAGAAAGCTGTCCTCCATTCCCTGACCCCTGCTTGGCACAGACACCCCACCAGAGGCTGGGGGAGGTGCTGAGGTTGGAAAGGATTTTCTCTGAGTGGCCAAACCTCCCTAAATCAGGAAGCAGAGCCCAGCCTGGTCGGTGCCCTGGCAGCAGGGCAGGTTTGGTGTGGTTCTACACCCAGAGAGCCGCTGTGCACGAGGAGGGAATGGCTGCAGCGACATTAGATACCCTGGGAGAGAAGAAGAAACCTGGTCCAACACTTTCTGTCCCAGCAAATGCCTCTGTGTGCCTGCCCAGGGCGGGCTGGGAGCAGGTGGAGCGCAGGAGGGCAGGCGGAAGGGGAGGCCTGGCAGGGGCACAGGTGCCCTGGCTGGCAGGAGAGAGGACAGAGGACAGAGGACAGAGGACAGAGGACAGAGGACACAGGACGGGGTGTTGGTGTTTCAGAGCCCCGCGGGCGGAAGGCAGCGGGCAGTGCCACCTGCATATTAAGCGGCCAGCTGAGCTCCTCTCTGCCCGCACACAGAGCTCAGCCCTGCCAACAGGAACCGGGGGGGACAAGGACACGGGGATGTCACCAGCTGTGCTCTCCTCCTCGCTGGGCTGCCTCTCCTGCGGGGGCTCTGTGGCAGCCCAGGCGCAAAGGGCTCATCCTTCTGGAGCTGTCACAGCCACAAAGTGTCTTGGATGCCCCAAACTCGGTCTGGGGACCCTCAGGTCTGAGCAGGAAAGGGAAAAACAATAGACACGCCAACATTTTGGGGTGCTGGGATGAGGGACTGGTGTCTGATACCCCTAGGGATGCCTGTGTCCCTGGGGGAAGGGGTTTTCTAAAGGATTTGATTCTCAAGTGCTCTGTCTCATTGTCTCTCTGTTATTTCTTTCCTTCATCCACTTCCATATGTCTTCTGATTTACAGCTAATATTATAGACTTTCATTCTTTATACCTGGCACTCCCATCAGGGGATTTTTAACATGAAAAATGTGGGGGGATTGGTGAAAAAAAAAACCCAGAGAAGGAAAGAGCCATTTTGACTGTGATTTTCCTAAAGGCATCCAGGAGAGCAACAGACATCTAAACTCCACTGTCTCATTTTCCAAAATCAAACCAATTTATCTTGGAAACATGATTTGGCCCAAGGTTTTGGCTAGAAAAGCC